GTCTGTGTAGTTTTTGTCGTTTAGAGTATCATTCACACGCATCTAACGAGGATAATCAGCGAGGTGAATGTAATACGAAGAGTCTGGATCAAAAGAAGGATTCTTGGTTTTGTGTTTCCTACTCCCTTCAATGTCATCTGTTAGTCCTGCCATGGAGAAGGTTTCTGGTTTTGTGATTTTGGCGGATCAGAGGACCCGCACTGATACCATATAGAAAACTAAAAAAATGGTTTAACTGGAACAATTGATTACAGGTTCATGTATTCACTCAATTGATAAAGAGTATATATATATACATCAAAGATCCAAACGGATAAATATGAAAATAGATTATAATCCTATAAGGAGACTAGGAATAATTATAAGATAAACACAAGAGAAGATAAGATAAACTCGTTCATTTTCTTCATTAACAAGTGGACCCAAATGCCCAAAATGAATATGAGATGAGACATTTGAACACACGTTATTCAAATTTTGGTTTTTATCACCCATAATATGAATTATGATATCATCATATCATATGTATGTGAACCTAGAGGAAACTACCATCACCGGTCACCACTGGAAAAGCAAAGTTCACCATAAAAATTTAGATGGCCACGTACCATGGGGAATAGTGGTGCCACCATTGTCACCGTGATAATCGCCTTGGTCACTTTGATCTTCTTACTGGTTTTTCTATGGACATGGGTTCTGAAGCTCTAAATATATACAGCTTTTCATTAATGGCAGTTCTAGATTGAGAAAGTCGTGCTTATGCTTCCTGGATTCTCTATCGTCGCTGAAGTTGAATAAGTCACGACACCATAATGTTGACTCTGATGCGGATCAAGAACCCTTAGGTCATCTTGTTGATGGTAAAGCTGAATTTTCTGATTTTTGACAACGGGACTCAAAGCATTTGTTTCTTAAATTAGGTAAAGTAATAAAGACTATATGATCAAAGAGAATATTTTTAAAAAGAAGTATCTTTCATTTATTGTATTTGTCTACAAACATAGTTATGACATGTTTTTTAACGGGAAAGCGAAATCCAGCAAGAAGCTGGAATGTTACAATACGAAAAGGAAACAACAGCTGATACGATAAAATTCATAATGAATAGAACTACTGCTCGAATATTCATTTGAACCACTTTGATCTTCTACCCAAAAATCTAAACCCCAAGAGCAAAATTAACGTCCCGAATATCACAAATATCACGACACAAGTTATACGAAGCATTGTGTAATCAGATGGCACAGTTGCAAAGGTGCAATTAGCATGGTTTACGGTTAATACAATCATTGAAATCTGCAATTCGCGCATCAAAGGGAAATCAACGGTGAGCATGTAAATCATGTAAACTGACATGTAGAACCCTAAGGAATTCGTAATAACAAATACAGCATATGGTGCTTGATGTCTGTGAGTACCCATAATAGCTTCTCCAGCATAGTGGTGTTTAATGATAGGACTACCATCATCTGCGAGTTGCGGTAAAGTACTATTGCCTGTGTCCCCCCAAAGTCCTCCAGGAGGACTAAGCGAGGTTTGATACGTTGCAGTCGTGATGAGTATAACGACTACAAGAAGGGTATTCCTAATTTCGATAGAAGAGCCTCTGAGTTTATACTCTATGAACTTGTCTAACCAATCTTTATGCGGAGAATGAGGGTTTTCATGTTTCGTTTCTGGTAGACTTAGATTTTGACTCATGGTTATAAGTAGGTTCTGAGAAAAGAAATCTTGCTATATTGATATATTTTACATGCATACGCTAACAAAGAGTTTATATAAGGAAATTGGCACGCCAGGTGCATGTACGTAGACCTTGTAATTGAGTCTATTGAAGTTACAAGGAAGCTTGTAATAGGGTCCACTGAAGTTGGAAGAAGCCTCAAATGGTGTCCTCCATTCAACTGTTACCAGTATTTTGCTTGCTAAGTGACGTTGAGCCATGACGTTTACATTAAAAATGTGGACCTCCATTCAAATAATAACAATATTTTTGTTCATGGAGATGTGAAAATGGAATGTACGTACGACGTCCTGATAAATAATTAAATATATACAGACAGTCAAACACTACTAGGGTGTGCAAAAAACCTGTAACCAAACAACTGAAGCGTTTTGAAAAAACCGAGGGTTTGGTTAGTTTTTTAATCGGATGGTATTATTGTTTTGTGTTAATTTTAGTATTGCATATTGTTATGCTTTAGAATCTCAGTTTTCATTGGGCTGCTACTTAATCCGTGAATCTTCTCTTTCTTTGTATCTTCTCATTAAAAGACAACAATAGTTGCTGCATAAATAAAATATAATACTACATTTGCTAATCTTCTCTTTCTTTTTATTTTTCCATCGAAGACAAAACAACACAATAGTCAATAGCAGCCGCCGAAAAATGAATAGAAAACATTAAAAATATTCCGCTACAACTTGAAGTTTAATTTATTTTCTTTCACATCAATTTCAAACCAGTAGAAAACTACTTAGTTATTGAAAATCTTTAAGCTATTGAAATAAAATAGAAACTTGAAATAACGTATGAGTATCCGAAATAGGCCCTATGAAAAGAAAAAAAAAATAGAGATGTACACCCCTTGTATAATGACATTACACATAGGATGAGAAAAAATCGCATCACAAATAAAATTAACCCCAAAAATTGCATAAACCGCTACCCATAAACCACAACCACAATAAAAAACCGAGGGTGAGGTTTTCTGTTTTTCAAAAACCGAAAATTTATGGTGCGGTGTGGTTATTAGTTTTCAAAAACCGCAAAAAAACCGTACCGCATATGTTATATACGATTTTTTATTAATTATTTATATATCAAATATTATAAATAAGACAAGTTTAATGGATAAAAGATGGAAAAATACTAGAAAACAAAACTATTGGTTTTTGTTATGTTTAACTTTGAAAAATGGTGAAATTAGACAATCTTAAGATATTTATTGTTAATTACTATTGATTTTACGTTTTTAAGATATTAGTTGTTTGTGATTTAAGTTAATTGTTTTATACCATATGGTTTTTTTTATTCTTACAAATAATATGTTTGAACTTTTAAAACCCTTAATAACCGCACCAAATCCATGCGGTTAATAACTGCAACACAAAAAAATAAATAAATAAATAAAACAAAATTGCACCGCAAAAATAACCGCCTAACCGCACCGCTAAAATAACCGCACCAAGAGATTTTGAAAATAGATTAAGCACATTTGCAGTTAGTGGTAATGTTTTGGTTAATAACCACACCGCGCTCACCCCTAATTACACATGTTTGAGGTTCATGCCTTGGAATACCCACGAAAGGAAATTTGCTTCAATTGACTAGCACATAAGTGGCAAGTTTAAATGCATTTAATTTCTCATATAGTTTTTATGTACAAAAGTATAATCCATGGTAACATCCAAAAAAAGTTACAGTTACCAGTTACCGACAGTTATTCTCATAATATTGGATACATACAAAAAATAAAGATCAATCAACTATATCAACAATACACAAAAGTACACCGGACATGATTTGAAATGATCCTATATTATCCGGAGGTACTATACATGACATTATAGGCTTTAAATCGCTCCAAGTTAGATCACCAATGTCAGACTAGCCCACTTGGTTGGGGTTTTGCCTCTAGATTTGAGGTATTGGTTTCTAAATCGTGTGTTAACAATTTCTACTCACCAGCTGTTCAAAAGAAGAAATCTCCAAGAGCATGTACTACCCATTCTCGACTCATCTGAGATCATGCATCCTGATACATTTTTTTATTCAGTATGGTCGCATGTGGTATCACTAAAAGCAAAGCAATTGAAATGCCAACAAAACCAAATGTTAAGGAACCTTTGTTAACTTAACGTGAAGAATTTATGTTTTACACAATAAGAGTTTAATTTTGTGCACGAAACGATAAAGAGGAAGAATACACACGCTACTATTTCAATGTGTGTTTCTTGATACAATTAAAAAGGAAAACGAAGTGGCATGAAAGGCTTACATGAAAAGCGAATGCAAGAATAAAATAGCGAGTTGTATAATAATTACATAACGTAAACCCTAGTATACAAGGGTTAGTTGAGTCGAACGGTTTGACTTGTTGACTTTATTTGACTTTGACTTGACTAGCATTTGATGGTTGTCACAACATGTCATCGGTATAGCGTGGCTTTTGCTGACGACATATTTTGTTTGCATAAGTGTCGTATCCATAGGGCTAGATCCTTGTAGTGTTTACTGGTTTTTCTAAGGAGATGGGTTCTGAAGTTCTATATATATACAAGTTTTCAATGGCAGTTCTAGATTGAGAAAGTTGTGCTTATGCTTCCTAGATTCTCTATCGTCACTGAAGTTGAATAAGCGAGGACACCATAATGTTGACTCTAATACAGATCAAGAACACTTATGTCATCTTCTTGATGGTAAAGCTGAATTTTCTGATTTTTGACTTGATCTGGATGAGAAACACAAATATTTATGACAAAACTTTCAAAATGGTACCTATGGTTTCACGAAATCTGAAGTTTGGTCCCTAATTTACAAAAACCTTACGGATGGTCCATGTGGTTTCAAAACTTTTAATGTTTAGTCATTCCGTCTAACTCTGTCAGCTTCTACCGTTAAGTGAGGGGCATTTTCGTCATTTCAATACCCAGGGACCATTTATGAAGGTTTTCTATTATTTTAAATAAAAATAAAAAATGAAACCTCTCTCTCTATCTCTCTCTCTATGTGTGTGTGTGTAAAACCAAGACTCCATATCCACGATTCCATCGTCGCCTGTCGCCTCTCTCAATCATGTTTGTAAAACAAGTTCCTGAAATCCTTAAAAAAATCGATTTTGCAGATCAGATCTTTGAAACTCAATTAAAAACAAACACAAAAAGCAAAGCAAAGCACTTACAGTTGAAGAAGGTTGTGCAGGTGTATCTTCCATAGCATTGGTAGTTCCATTTAAATGTTGAGAGACAATAGGTATAATCTAGTGCAACAAATTGGACTAAAAAGCTCCTTCTTCAGTGACCACTGGCAATAGCACACCCATAGAGCTTCGGGAAGCTTCAGAAGGCAGCATTAAAATCCTAATGGGGACTACCAGCACCTCCGATCCCCTACTTTGCCTAAGGGCATTTTCATGATTCGTAACTCCACTATCAGTAGGAGCTGCTGCTGCTGAGCGCTCTCCACCACCATTTGTTTCCCTCATCACTGAACTAAAGAAAGGGCATATAAGAAGTTAATGAAATGGAAATCCATTAAAATCAGAATGTGAGAATAGTAATAGTGTAATATACATGTACGTATTTTGATATCAATATTCTGTGGACGTAAACCAAAACCAAAATTGCTAGTGCCAGAGGCTGACCCTTTGACTACTACAGTTACAAATGGAGGTGGAGGCGGATGTGTGGTTGTTCAAAAACTAGTGCTAGGTTGAAAAGGTAGAGGCTACATCATTGTTGGATTTGACCCAGATGTTGATACGAAACCAACGATGTTGCTCTGGACATAAAACGCCATTTCCACGGCGTTTCAACGCGACGCTGACATGGGTTCCTACCAATCTGGCTGCTCCGGTGACTAAAACAGAGAACCCGTTTCTTAATTTTGTGAATGATTTCATTGGGGTTGCTAATCGATTTCATGCCTGTTACTCGGGCTCAATTTCTTGGTGAACTTTTAGGAGAGAGGGAGAGAGAGAGAGAGAGAGAGAGAGAGAGAGAGAGAGAGACCCTTTTTATGATGCTCGTGATTTGACATGTTGACAAAAGGAGGAAGGGGATTATCTAAGACTAAAGATCCACCTTCAAACTACGATGAGGGAGGAAGAGAAGGCTGGGATGCGGATCAGAGTGTTTACTAGAGGAACCAATGGTAGAATTTTGTGGTGACAAACGGTGAGGAATGATGCAATGGTGGGGCAACGAAGGATGATCTGATTCATAAGAGAGAGAGAGAGAGAGAGAGAGAGAGAGAGAGAGAGGGGTGGGGCCCTTTAATATTAAATAGTTATATTTAATTTTCTTCTTTTTTAAATTAAGGCAAAACTTCATAAATGGTCCTTGTGGTTGTGAAATGACAAAAATGCCCTTCACTTAATGGCTAAATGTTAACGGAGTTAGCAAAAAGGACCATTTGTTAAAAGTTTTGAAACCACGGGGACCATCTGTGAGTTTTTTATAAATTAGAGACTAAACTTCAGATTTTCGGAAACCACAGAGACCATTTGAAGTTTTGTCAATATTTATTGATAACGGGACTCTAAGTTTGTTTCTTAAAAATTAGGTAAATTAATAAATAAGGAAAATATATGATGAAAGAGAATATTTTTTAAAGAAGTATTCTTCATTTATTGTATTTTTTTGCATGCAAACATAGTTATTACATGTTTGTTTCACGGGAAAGCAAAATCCAGCAACAAGCTGGAATGTTACAATAGGAAAAGGAAACAACAGCTGGTATACAAATTTGAAGGCTACACCATGATATGATAAAATTCATAATAATGAATAGAACTACTGCTCGAATATTCATTTGAACCACTTTGATCTTCTACCCAAAAATCTAAACCCTAAGAGCATAATTAATGTCCCGAATATCACAAATATCACGATGCAAGTTATACGAAGCATTTTGTAATCAGATGGCACAATTGCAAAGGTGCAATTAGCATGGTTTATGGTTAATACAATCATTGAAATCTACAATTCGCGTATCAAAGGGAAATCAACGGTGAGCATGTAAATCATGTAAACTGACATGGAGAACCCTAAGGAATTCGTAATAACAAATACAACATATGGTGCTTGATTTCTGTGAGTACCCATAATAGCTTCTCCAGCATAGTGGTGCTTAATGATAGGAGTACCATCATCTGCGAGTTGCGGTAAAGTACTATTGCCTGTGTCCTGCCAAAGTCCTACAGGAGGACTAAGCGAGGTTTGATATGTTGCAGTCGTGATGAGTATAACGACTACAAGAAGGGTACTCCTAATTTCGATAGAAGAGCCTCTAAGTTTATACTCTATGAACTTGTCTAACCAATCTCTATGCGGAGAATGAGGGTTTTCATGTTTAGTTTCTGGTAGACTTAGATTTTGACTCATAGTTATAATTAGGTTATGAGAAAAGAAATCTTGCTATATTGATATATTTTACATGAAACGCTAACAAAGAGTTTATATAAGGAAATTGGCACGCCAGGTGCATGTATGTAAACCTTGTAATTTAGTCAACTGAAGTTACAAGGAAGCTTGTAATCGGGTCCACAAAAGTTAGAACCTACGAAGCCTTAAATGGTGTCCTCCATTAATTACGTGGTATTTTGCTTGCTAGGTTACGATGTGCTATGGCATTTACTATAAGACTTTATTGAATTAACCTCAAAGGGTATGAACGAGTTTACATGTATATAAAATACAAGATAACAAACAAAGGCTAATTTCTAGGAATACAACTAGATAACTATATTATCTAGACTTATCTTATTTATCACTAATACTCCCCCTCAAGCGAAGAGGTGGTACACCAACACGCAACTTGGAACGAAATTGCTCAAATAGTGGACGCGAAAGGCTATTGGTGAATATATCAGCCAATTGTAACGAAGTAGGCACAAAACGCCTGTGTAATCTACCAGAAGCAACTAACTCATGAACAAAGTGATAGTCTATGTGTATATGCATCGCTCTTCTGTGAGATATAGGATTATGGGTAAGAAAAATAGCACTCTTGTTGTAACATAAGAGAGTTGGACGATCTAGTGGCAAAGCGTGAAGTTCACGAAGAAGATGAGTAATCAAAATAATTTCAGCAGCAGTATTTGCCATTGCTCGATATTCAGATTCACAACTAGATCGAGAGACGGTTGGTTGCTTTTTAGCGCTCCAAGAAACAAGATTTCCACCTAAAAATATGGAGTAACCATATGTTGAACGTCGAGTCTCAATACACCGGGCCCAATCCACATCAGAATAACCAAGAAGCGAAGAGGACTTGGGGTAAGTAAAGTGAAGACCATAGGATAAAGTGCCTTTTACGTATCTTAAGATTCTTTTGACTATTTGAAACTGGTCAGTCGTAGGAGCATGTAGAAATTGGCTGACATAGGATAAGTCAGGACGGGTAATAGTCAAGTATTGTAAAGCACCAACTAGTGATCGATATAAAGTGGGATCCGAACATGGCGAACCAGAAGTGACAAGATAATCTAAGGTTGATAAAGGAGTTGAAGCAGGTTTTGAGTCAAGCAGATCGGCCCGAGTGAGAATATCATGCGCATACTTGGCTTGAGTGAGAAATAAACCATTTTCCATATACGAGACTTCAAGACCCAAGAAGTAATTTGACTGGCCAAGATCCTTGATAGCAAACTCGGAGTGAAGTCGAGTAATAAACTTTTTAATGAGGAGTGGAGAATTTCCTGTTAAGATAATGTCATCGACATAAACTAACAGGTATAGGATTTGTGACTCCTGTTTGAAGACAAATAGAGATGTATCAGCTCGACTGCAAACAAAACCGAGAGTGATAAGAAATGAACTGAGGCATTGAAACCAAGCACGTGGAGACTGTTTAAGGCCATATAGGGCCTTCTTTCAACGATAAACATGATTAGGATATCTTTGGTCAAAAAAACCCGGGGGTTATTCCATAAATACCCTGTCAGTAAGAATTCCATTTAGAAAAGCATTATTGACATCAAGTTGATGAAGAGGCCATTTATGCATGATAGACAAAGATAAGACAATACGAAGAGTGGCAGCTTTGACAACAGGACTAAAAGTACGAGTGTAGTCAAGACTCGAAATTTGATTGAACCCTTGAGCGACCAATCGGGCCTTTAGTCGTTGGACGGTACCATCTGAATTGAATTTGGTATGATAGACCCATTTTGAACCCACTATATTTGAACAATGTGGACGAGGGATAAGATCCCAAGTGTTGTTTGAGCGAAGAGCATTCATTTCTTCTTTCATGGCAGATAGTCATTGAGGATGTTTAGCTGCAGATTTGAAACCACGAGGCTCTTTAGTAACAAAAAGAGCATGAAGAAGCGGAGCACGTTCAATATATGCAAGGTATACACGGTGACGAGGTTTAAAGATTCCTGCACGAGATCGAGTCACCATAGGATGAGAAGAAGAAGATGGAATTGTTGGACCTGGTCCAGGCGACGATGAAAAAGTTGTTGTTGTGGTGATAGGAGAATCCGACGAGTCGGTAGGTGATGGCGGGGAGGTTGTCGACACATCAGAAGTGGTACCGCTGGATACAGAAGTTAATTCAGCACCTGATGAGAATGTCGCAGGCTGCTGATCATCTGTGAACAGATGCTCATGCGGACAAAGCGAGCAGAATGGAGCTGGTTCTGAGTTGCGGTGTTGAGGAGCAGGCACGGGGGACAACTGTGGAGACGGACATGGTTCTTGGAAGTCTGTGAACAATAATTTGGCTTGATCAATAGGCGGTAAAACACCACGGAAAGGAAATGTGTTTTCATCAAAGATTGCATGTCGGGTGGTGTAAATGAGATTTGAAGTAGGATGCAAGTAGCGATAACCCTTATAGTTGGAGTTGTATCCGATAAAAATGCAAGAAGCACTGCGAGGGGCCAATTTGTGTGTTGAATAATTGCGTAAGTATGGAAAAACCCGACATCCAAAAACCCGAAAAACATCATAGTTTGGTGGTGAGTGAAACATCTCAAATGGAGTCTTTTGATCAAGAATCTTTGATGGAAGATGATTGATAATATAAGTTTCGGAGCTGAAAGCGTCAACCCAAAAAGAAGCTGGTACATTTGCATTAAAGATCATTGCGAGACCGGTTTCGGTAATATGGCGATGTTTCCATTCAGCTCGCCCATTTTGTTGCGGAGTATGAGGGCAAGACAAACGATGATGGGTACCGTTTTCCATGAGGATAGCACGAACTTGGTTGTTTGTGAATTCCGTTCCTCCGTCACTCTGAAAAGCTTTAATTTTGCAAGAAAATTGTGTTTGTAAGAACGCAAGAAAGGCTTTAAATATATTTAAAAAATCAGATTTCAATTTTAATGGATAAAACCATGTGAATCGAGAGAAGTCATCTACGAAGATTCAATAGTATAAGTATCCTTCTATTGAAGGAATAGGTGCTGGCCCCCATAAGTCACAATGGACAAAATCAAGCACATGCAAAGAACGTTTTTCATTTAATGTCAATGATAATTGTTTGCTTTTGGAAAACTGACATGAAGAACATATACTAGGTTTAGGCAAAAGTGAAGTAAATGACAAACAACCCGATTTATTCAATAAAGAAATTGTATCAAAAGCAGCATGACCTAATATAGTGTGCCATAATTCATAAGAAGCACATAATTTGGAAGTTCTTAAGTTTGTAAGAAAAACTTGATAGCTATTCTTGAGAACATAGAGACCATTTTCACATCTACCCCTTGCCAATATTTCCTTTGTTGCGCGGTTCTGAATGGCAAAAAAAGGATTAGAAAATAACACATCCACCGGAGAATCCTTGGTCAATTTACTAATGGAAAGGAGATTCTTAGTGACATTAGGAACTACAATAATATCTGATAGTTTAAGATCTTTGGAAATTGAAGAGTTACCAATATGAGAGATGGAAGAAGTATTACCATTTCCAAAAACAACGTGATCAGATCCTGCATAAGTTGAAGCCGAATCAAGAGTTGTGGGAGATGATGCCATATGGGTGGAGGCACCAGAATAAACGAACCAATCTGGGGAGTTATTTGTAACATGACACTGGGCTTGGAAGGCTTGGGCTAAATTCGCTTTTTAAGAAGAGCCCTGACCAGCGAATGAAGCCAAATCGGGACAAGAACTCACATAGTGACCATTTGTGCGACATAGCTGGCAGTGTGGGGGGCGCCGACCACGACCGCGACCACCGGTGTTTGAAAAACGACCACGACCTCTACCAGAGTTGTTACCACCACGAGAAGTAGTAGATGAAGAGGGCTGACGATTGGCAGTGAAAGCAGCGACTAGTGGAGTGGGATCATGAATTGCAGCAAGAAATAACTCATGTCCTTCAGCTTGAGAGACCAGATCACGGAAAGAAGGACGAGGCTTAATGGCGCGATAAGTAGTAGAAAAAGTCTCAAACGAAGAACCGAGTCCACAAAGAAACCAGTGAATCTTATCAAGATCATCAACGAGGTGACCAATTGCAGCAAGTTGGTCATAGATTGCTTTGAATTTGGAACCAAATTCGGTAACAGTTGAGGAACCCTTTTTAAGTTGTCGAAGGGTATCCTTTAGGGTCTGCACACGCTCCTAGGAATCATGGCGATATGCTACTTTAAGAGATCGCCAAATATCAAAAGGCAGTCTTGGAGTCGAGAGATTCAGCCATAGCAGCCTCGCTGAGAGAGGCCTGGATAATAAGGTAAGCGCGCTGATCTGCTTCCAACCAGGTTTCATAGTCAGTATTAGGAGAAGAAGTATTTGCAACGACTTTTGTCTTGGGTGGAGGAAGAATCGTGCCATCTATGTGGCCGGACAACTTCTGATATGCAAGAAGGGGAAGCATTTGATTGCTCCATAGTAAGTAGTTTGTAGGAGAAAGTTTGACAGTAATCATATGAAGAATGGTGTTGAGAGGGAGTGAAGATGGTGATGAAGAAGAGGAGCCGTCGATCGTCATTGCAGAGAGGAAAAGTCTTGACCTAATCTGATACCATATAAGACTTTATTGAATTAACCTCAAAGGGTATGAACGAGTTTACATGTATATAAAATACAAGATAACAAACAAAGGCTAATTTCTAGGAATACAACTTCAATACAGCTAGATAACTATATTATCTAGACTTATCTTATTTATCACTAATATTTACATTCCAATGTGGTCCTCATGCAAATAATATCAATACTTTTGTTCATGGAGATATGCAGACGTAACACCTTCCTAGGCCTTGATGTATTGTCGTTTTGTATTATTTTTTGATTGGCTGGTATTGTTGTTTTGTCTTCAGTTTAGTATTACATTTTGTGATGATTTAAATTTCAGTTTTGATTGGGGTGCTACTGAATCCATGAATCTGCTCTTTCTTTGTATCTTCTTATTAAAAGACAAA